TCAAAGCCATAAAAGGTCAGACAGTAAATACTGTTAGCTCTGCAGGCCATATGGACTGCTATTCCATTCTGCCACTGCTGACATAGACCACGAATATATAAATAGGCACAGTGGGTTCAAGTGAAAGTTTACTTAAAAAAGCAGGCATAGGGTTTAATTTGTTCAACAGGCTACCAGTTGTTGACCTGTGTTAATGCCTAGCTTAATGAGCATTTGGTAATTTACATGCTGCTATTGCAAAATACCAGAGAAAAGTAACTTAAGGATGGAAAGTTTTATTTTGGTTCGTATATTAAGGGTTCTTCAGTCAGGTCACATCACATCCCCACACTGTGTCAGTGGCTCAAATAGCAAAGAAAAATTCTGATTCTTTGCTAACTTGTTCCTTTTGATGGAGTCCAAGGCATCAGCCCAGGAATCATCAGTACCACTGATATTTAGGATGGACTCTCCCACCTCAAATAATGTAATCTTTCCTTCCTCATAAACATGCCTAGAGGTTTGTCCCTTCAGTGATTCTAGATAATATCACATTGAGAATCATTAATAACCTTCAGGAAGGTAATATAGTATAAATATGTATTTACACATACATATGCACAAATATGAATCCAAGCTTTTTCACTATATATACATATATACAGTACCATATGTATGTACAAAATTCCATCATTGACCAATATTTTTGTTTTATCAGAAAGTCATAAATATTCATATTAAGTTTAATAAAAAGGTCTAATATAATGTTTTGAGAAAGGGTTTACCTCCAAAAATTACATATATATTAGAACTGTCAGAGATTTTTTTTTAATTATAGTAAAGGAATTGTAGACCTAAACATAATCTTTTCTTAAAGTGTTTGAAACATTGAAAAGCTGACACTGAGAAATTTCATGAGAGAAAAAGTGAAGACATACAGTCTAGGGGCCACAAAGTTCATCTAGTAATAATAGAACAATAACCTTAGCAGTTAGGTTATGAACTGAGGCACCTACTTCTTTGATCCAAAATACCATTTAAAAGATTGCATGGCCTATAACCCATACCTGAAATAGGATGCTGGTGACACATTTATAAAACTTCTTAACACTATAGAAGTTATTGTAAGTTAAGTTTGTTTTGTAACCTTTCTTTCTTCATCCCTTTAGCCTTAAGTAATCGCAAGGTCCTAGAAACATGTGATTGCCTTTCAGATCACTGACCAGCATACATTTTATACAGTAAATATTTCTACCCTAGTCTCTATCAGCAAATAAATACCAAACTTTTGTTAGCTAGATATTTTCTATTGAGCCAGAACATTCTCCTGATCCTTGAGCAATCTTAACTTTCATAAACTTAACTCTTATAAAAGGCAAAAAATGCATAAATATTTAGGCTATGTTTCCACCGCAATAGCAAATAAAATGTTTTTTGGGCTTTGCCCTCATTAGCCTATGCTGATAAGCAATCAGATGGGAAAGGACAGCATGTTTGCTATGAAATTATACACTGAATATGAATCAAGCAACTCTAGAAGAAATACAAAAATTTTAAGGTGATTTGTATGTCAAACTCTTCAGTTTTCAAAGGAGGAAATTTGGAGTCCATGATTATAAAATAAGCACCAATGTTCCACAGTTACACAAGATGGTCGTTGGATCTAACTGCCTGATTTCCAATTTAGCCTTTTTTACCAGCTGCTAAGTTGTTCTGCTGCCAGGTACATACCTAGCACTTCCTCTCCAATAACTATGCTTTCTCTCTAACTCACTTATGAACCATAGTGAGGAAGTAGATTTTGTAGTGCTTACCTTTTAAGGTAAAGCATGAAAACTCTGCCTATATCGTGGGTTCTTCTAGAAACTTGGTGGAAAATTGCTACACTTTGAAGATGAAAACTAAATATACTAGTGAGATGCAATAGCAGTAGACAGCATATATAACAAACAAGATTTGGCAAAATATTTATTTTAGTCACTCACTCAGGCGTTTTAGATTTCCATAAGGGCCGGCACAGTTGGCTGTTTCATGATCCTCTGACTTCAGATAGTATTGTAGGTTGTTTGGATAGAAGGGCAAATCTCTACAATATTGGAAGCATAAGAGGCGAATTGGTTTCTCACAGCAGCAAATGAAAGAAAGGGCAGGTGCAAGGTTATGCTCAGGACAAAGAGAACAGGAGAGTGGAAGAATGGGAGGCAACATGCATGACTAATAAACAGGAAGATTTAGATTCTGCTGGCACCATGCTAGCCTTATATATGGAAATGAGTTGACAGTTGAGGAAAGAAGGAACTGTTTGAGGTTGCAACCCCTTTGGAGGTGGGGTTCTGATAGGTAGGTAGGTAGGTACCAGACTTCAAGACTAATACGGTAAACCAACATTGCAGAGTATTAGCAAAAATTCCTAAATTGGGAACTGTGAGCTTTTAGCTATAACTTCAGACTGTGTCATGGTAATACCTACACGATAGCGTTTTATATCAGATCAAGAGCTTTAAGTATTAATAGTAGAAATATTAGTCTTTGGCTTTCACTGTTAATGGTTTCAGCATTAAGGAATATGTATTTCCCTTTAAAAAATACTGGAGCAAAGGAAATGGATTCCTGGAGCTAAGAGGCAGAGGCACTACCGCTACAACTTTATAAACGGGGCCTGTATGAGGAGTTGTGCTTCTCTGGAGACAACCCACAGAGCTTTAATCATGAGACAAGAGAGTCTGGTAGGGGAAATAATGAATATCCACGAAATAAGTGGACCATATAATTTATCTTGTAAACTGTGACTTTTGGGAGAAAGAAGTACTATTAATAATTCTGTCATGACATTTGAGTACATAGATATTGTGCAGAGAAAACAGGGAAATATGGTTATGCTACTGTGGTGCAGATTTTAAGGAGTTTGTAGAGTCTGGGAGGAAATTCTATGTAAATCAAACAATATCTTTATAGTTAATAGATGTTGTATTCATAGTGATTAGGGAACAGATTATTGTCATGGGCGTGTTTTATAGATAAATCAGCTGGAAGGGGAAGATTCCAAATTTATATGATTGTGAATATTATTCCGGGGAATTTGTAAGTGTGATAGAGAATAATTCAAAGTTTTAAATACTGTCAGAATATGGTAAAATTCCTGTTTTATAAAGAAAAGTTGGTTGTCAGTATTCTAGTGGGTATGGAAAAATAGCTTGAGGAACAAGGTTCATATAGAGGTAAACTTTTCTTTATCTTCAAAACTGCTACTGAAGATAAAAAGAAATCATCACTTTGGGGGCTATAAAAGCAGAATTTAATTCATCTATATAATCACAGCATTTATTCTACCCATTGTTTTATTTTATTTATTTATTTTTTTCGGATAGTGGAGATTTACATTAAGTGTTGACCAAACGCTCCAAAAGAAAACCTACAGGTCTCACATATTTGAGCATTTATTTCTCTATCTTCTACAGTTGTTCTTTTGAACATTGTGCTAGATACTGTGCATGTCATTGCAAACTCAGCAAAGTTTGGAGCACACTCCCTTGGCACTGTGCTCTTTCATTTAACTCCTGACATATTTACCCATTAGACATATGCTCTTCCCTGCAACACTACAAGTCACTTATAGGTTATTGATCTTGTGTGCAGAAGATTCTTTATGATTTTGTTTCTATTTCTGTTTGGTTTTTGTTTTTTATTTGCTTTTGCTGAATTTTTATCAAGTTTTGTTTTCTGTTTTGTTTGTTTGTTTTTTTCCTATTTTATCAAATGTCTCTCTAACCAAGATTTTAGATTCATTGCTCACAGGTAAATACATAAAGTCTTATAGAGAATATAAATAAGTGAACAAATGAATGAATGAATGCAATATATGATTTTGCTTACATTTAAGAAGGGACACTTCAAATATGTAATGGGAAAGGAAACGGAAATCCCACTGTGAGGTCATCATCAGCATCATCAACTCAGTGTTGTTTTCTGACCTGAGCACTGCTTGTTTCTGCCTGTGATTTTCATCTCTTCTACAAGTCTTGAGAACATTTAAGTTTTATTTTTATGGAATAGAATATAATCACTGTTTTTCATAAGTATTTATGCTTATATTATTTATATTTTATTGATGGATTTATTTATATTTATTTTCTGGAATAAATAGATGCAGAAATAAGTGAAGGCTTTTTAAAATTTAAAACATCTGGAAATTATAGAATTTTATTATTTATTAGTTTTATATATATAAATATCCAAATACTTTAAAAAAGATATTTGAGCTTAAATATAGTTCTACTACACTAAAAATTTCATTTGCTGTCCAATAGTTCCATCAAAATGACCCAGGTGAGTTTATCCTAGGGTTATTCTAATTTTTATGAGTTTATCAGTGTTTATAAACCTATTATTAGATTTCTTTCATGAAGTAAAGGGCAAGCTAGCACCTTCTCTTCGTCTCATTTGTCATGGAATAGCTAAAATGTCAAAATAAATTAGAAACAATTATGGTGTAACCCCTTGGGGAAAGCACATCTACTATCTGCAAGTTAATGCCACAGGCAATTGATTTCTTACAGAAATTTGTAATAATATTGGTTTTCGTTCAAGTAACATCAAGAAATGTAATGGCTCATAATGAGTATGTTCTCAATAATTTGAATAGGATACTTAGAAAATGTGTGATTTCTATGAAATCTTTGTTATACATATAAAAACCACAGGCTGAAAATTCAATTAATGGAAAATTCAATCCACATGTTATGCATTGAATTAGTACTATTCCAATTAATTAAAACTCTAGGAAGTTTCATAGCAGATGATGACGTATATTAAAAGTTTCGTAGCAGTTGATGACATATAGTTAATATGTGAACTGAAATTATGAAAATGTGAACTGAAATGTGTGAGGCTCAGCAAAATATGAGTATTAAAATGTATAGTCATTTATGTTGATTTATTTTTAGAATATATTTTTAAAAGTTTAGTCAATGCTTAAGGGATACATAGACGATAGTCATGTTTGTCCATTTTGTTTCCTTCAGACAGATTGCTAACATACTGCCTAGAAGATACAATCTTCTTTCCTGCTGATTGCATGGGAGAAATTTTTGACCTTAGAACGTGGAGATGAGGTTGCTATGGAAACTGGTAATTCTGCTGCCACTCATAAACTCTTGTGCAGGTAAAGTGTTCTATTATTATGCATTTAGATTGATAAATATATTAGTACTATATACCTTCCTTGAGATGAAACAACTTTGAAAATGCACAAGCCATGTGTTATTTGAATGACCAAGTGGTAAAGTTGTAAGAGTAACCTTTACTTCAAATAGAAAGTTTAATCCTTAAAAATATATAAAATAACTCTTATGAGACATTGTTATTAAATTTATAAATTTTCAAATATGAATTTGGTCAAGTGTGATTAGTGACTTATCATTTATAAATCCATTTATATTTTATTTACAGTGAAGTCTTCATGTATATAAAATGAAATTTATATTTTCTCTCAAATTTATAGAGATTATTAGAGAAAAGTTATGCTAAGGTAAAGTGTAGCCAAAGGTGATGTAAAGTGTTCTTGCAAAACTGGAAAAAAATCTTGGAGTTCTTTCTTTATCCTTCTTCAAATACCAAAGGGGGACAGATATGTTCTTCCACCCAATCTAAGGGTTGTCATATCTGTTTATTAATTAATTTCCCCTGTTTTAAAAAAAAAAACTTAAATCAAGGTTTTTAAATCACCGGATATATCAAATAGCCATATATTGGCATAATGGTTCTGTGGGATATGGTTTAGAGTATGTTTCACTGGCCTGTGCTTTGGGTTTTGTTCTGATGCACTGTATCTGTGGTGAGCTAGACTCACCTGAGTCATAACTATCCCAGGACAAGCTCCACCGAGACAGCTATGCTGGCTTGCCTTTGATCCTCATGGTCTTTCAGCTGCTTGGGAATCAGAGTTTTTCACATGCTGGCTTCTCTGGACTTCAAAATAAAATCTCAAAAACAGAGACTCGTGATACCAGGCCTTAGAGTCCAGATAAAGTCAATTCCCTGACATTCTTCCCATTATTACAAATTATCAATCAGCCTAGACTTAAGGCTAATTATCTTCAACTATTCATAAAGAGCTATAAGGTTGAACTTAATAGGACCTGGAATAATAGAGGCTACAATAGTGACTGTAAATAGTTGTAGTAATTGCTGTAAGTAGTAAATGGTTAGCAACAACCTGTTCAGTGCAGTTAGTCTTTTTGTTTTTGTTTAAGATGCATTTATTTTTATTTTATGTATGTGAGTGTATTGCCTTTCTGGTGCCTATGAAAGCTAAAAGAAGATGTCATATACTCTGGAACTGTAGTACAACTATAAGCCACCACTTGGATGTGGGGGACTGAACTCAGGTTCTCCACAAGAGTAGCAAGCACTAACTGCTGAACCATCTTTCCAGCCCACCCCTGCACAGAGTTCTAGTCTTAATTGCCAAGCTTAGTTACCTGCATTGTGCGATAGCTTCAGAACTGACTAGGTCACATGGCTATCAGAGAGGCCCCTTGACCATCTTCACACCGGCTCTGATTCCCTCTACTTGTGTAATGACAACTACTATCTATGTCTTACAAATTTGTAACAATTCAATAACAACATGAGGAAAATGCAAGAATATAATAATTTCTTATTCAAAAATGTCATAATGACAAAAATGTCTACTAGCAATCTCAAGATATAAAAAGCCATGTGAATACTAAAATATGTGCAAAAGAATAAGAAACCTTACAAAAGTATTCCCATCATTAGCAAATCGAACATCTCAGAGAACCACAGTCATATTTATTCAAAGTGATCACATTGTTTTGGTTTATGTCACATCCTCTCTGAAAGACAGACTGAAGTTAAATAATAATATGTTATTTCATGTAATAGATTAAAAGAAGACAGAAAAGCCATTAAGGTGCCCCCAAATTATCCACATTCGAAGAACTCTATGCCTACTTTAAGTTTCAGCTTCCTGTCAAAATTTTACATTAACATTTTGCCCTTTAAATGTGTCTATTGAATTAACATAGGCTCTTTAAAAGACCTTTTGTGCTAAATTAAAATAAAACCATTGTTCTCAGAACACATATCAAATATGAGAAATACTCTGTCTCTTCTATTAACTTCTATTTATACAATTTGGTTGTGATTCAACATGTCCTTTTGCCTTATCCTAAGGGAGAAATAATCATGTCCTTGGTGCACAGTTTCATCAGTAAAGAACAGATTGAGTCTATTCCTTTTAAGTCATAGCCATTTAAATATGGTAATCTCAGCTAAGCATCACCCCAGAGGTAAAGATGGTGATATTGTTTTACACAAGAGAGCATTGATTTAAATCTATTTGTTTCGTTTGGGATTTCACGGTGTTCACTCCAAGTGGGAACTACATTAGATTAGAGAACTGGCTGCTGATGGAGTTCTGTTTCTTTAATATATGTTCTCTTTCATTCCTCCCTCTCCTTGTATTCATTCTTAAAGTCAGGCACATCTTTCACAATTGCCTGTGTTTCCCTTTCTACTTTCACTGTTATAATCCATTAAAATGTGTATATTTCAATAACCTTATATTCCAATATAAAACATAATTTTTTTGTGATTGGTCACTTTTGTATTTTCTTTTGTTTAATGAACTTCATAACTTTTTCCTCACACCCTGATGGAGTATTCTGGATCTTGGATCTTTGTAGTGACTCCTAATATGTTTAAGCAGACATCACTGATCCTAAGACATTTGTCAGAGTATGATCACTTAAAAATGTATTTGTCTTGATTTAATGTTTTTTTTTTTTTTAATATTGGGAAAACACAGAGACCCATTTAACTAAGAACACAATTGTTGACTAAAGACATTTAAGTTACTTAGTTAATGGTTGTGGGGTGGTTAAAAATGTCCCCCAACTAAATATCTTGGCTTGTTGTTTGGAAATTGCAAGTATTATATAAGATGCAAAAATATGTTTTGCAGATGTAATTAAGTTGACGATCTTGAGATGGGCATAATTATTTTTGATTCTTATTCAAATTCTCCTCCTCTTCTTTCTTCTCCCCCTTCCCACCTTCTCCCTTTCCCTCTCCTTCTTCCTCTTCTTCTTCTCCTCCAGTTTTGTCTCTATTTCTTCTACCTTTGTCTCTGCCTCGTCTCCTCCTTTTTCTCACACTTTTTTAATATATTAATACTAAACAGTGTGACTGGGTCGACTCTATATGAGCATAAGGGAGAAACATAAAACTGTAGAAACAGATTCTATTGTTGCTAGAGTAGCACGTGTATAGGAAGCCTAATCTTGGTGAGTATAATTATATGCTGCATCTTCTATAGTGAGAAAAAAAGCTCAAAATGTATTAAATATTTCATTTCATTAAAGTCACTATGTAGAATGTCATATAATCCACACCTTGTAGCCAGAATCCTAATGGGTCTTAATGGTAAAACCCCAGAGTCAGATATCAGGGTGAAAGCTGAAAGATGAGAGAAGCAGAGCAGCAGCCACTAGAAAGACTCCTTGCCTCTAGGAATCCTCCATCTGAAAGGGGGCTGAGCTCCTGTCTCCACCCTGCCTTATCACTTCTTCTATCTGCCAAGTCATCACTTCTATGCCCTCAGAGTGTAGGGGTAAGGGGTACCACAGACAGAGAAGATCAGTGACCTTCTCTCATCCTACACCTCCACAAACTCCCTAACTACTCCCATCGCCTCTGGACCTCATCTCCCATGGTCTGGTACCCAGCCATGGTATCCTCGCAACACTCCTAACATTCTTTTCTATTTTAGATAAAAAGGGGGAAATGTGGTGATGTTTTCTTTGTTCTCTAACAAATAAAGCTTGCATGGAGATCAGAATGCGGAGCTAGCCACTAGAGGCCAGGCAGTGGTGGCACACACCTTTAATCCCAGCACTTGGGATCCCAGTCCTTGGGAGAAAGAAAGAAGTGATATGGCTGGGTGGAGAAAGGAATTGATAAGGCAGGGTTAGAGACAGGAGCTCATCCTTTTCAAGCTGAGGTTTCCTAGAGGTAAGAAGTCTTTAAGTGGCTGGCTGCTCTGCTTTTCTGATCTCAAGAAAAGCTTTATTTGTTAGAGCACAAACAATATATCCTCACAACACCTTACTTGTCTTCTAAGGTCCACGTAGTTAAGGTAGCTTGGTCTCCATTGTAGTGCTACGGGAGATGGTAAACCTTGAAGAAATCGGACCTAGTAAGAGTCACTCAGGTCAGAGGGAGTCTAACCTAGAAGAAGGCAATAGATTTTTTTTCATACAACATATTTTGATTATACCTCAGTGCCCCCCAGAATGTCCTACTTCCCTACCCACCCAAATTCACACCCTTTCTCTCTCTCATTATAATACAAACAGACATCTAAAACAATAATAATAATTAAGAGCCAAAAAAAAAGTATAGGGCAAAATAAACAAGCAAAGAAAAACAGTCAAAGGAAAAACACAAGTAGATTCAGAAACACACACATGTTTGCATCCACAGAAATCTCGTGAAAACAAAAAATCAGAAGCCAAAATATGTACACAAAGAACCTGTAAAGTTTTCTTTAAAAAAAAGGAGCCCTGCCAGTGAGAGTTCACCATCCACTTCTGTGTATGGTACCTATCCTTAGAAGTGGTTTATATACCCAGTGAGACGCAGCAGGAGAAACCTCATTTTTCACTTGTAAGGAGACATCAATCAGCTCCTTGGTTAGGGATGGGAGCTTGCATACACTTCCCCTCACGGTGCTGGGACTCCATCAGGTGCAGATCTTCCAGACCTTATGCAGGCTTGCTCAGTCTCTATGGGGGATGGTTCTTCTGAAATTCAAAGGCCTTGTTTCTTTGATGTCCTCCATCCCTGCTGTCTCTTCAGTCTTTAAGCTTCCCCTTCCACAGGGTTTCATGATTCCCAAGGGGAGGGATTTGGTGGAGATATCCTATTTAAGACTGAGGGTTTAAAGGTTTTTAACTCTCTGAACATTGTCTAGCTGTGGGTCTCTCTACTTCTTCCTACCCACTGCTGGAAGAAGCTTCTCTAATAATGGCTGAGCAAGGCCCTAATAGATAAGTATAGTATAATATTATTAGGAGTTATTTTATTGCAGAATAGTAGTAGTGGGTATTCCCTTAGGTCTCTGGCCTATCTAGCCTT